CCGCGGTCTTCCCCTTGCGCAGCAAGGGTGATGTCACTAAGGTGCCGATCGACTGGATCCGCGCAGCTCGTCTCCAGCTCAGGCAGAGCTTTGGCTCGGACTTTCCTGTTCTGCGTCTGCACTCGGACAGAGGCGGAGAGTTCTCCTCTGGCCTTCTGCGTGCCTACTGTCGTGCGCGAGGCATCCGTCAGACCTTCACGCTTCCGGACTCACCGCAGCAAAATGGGATTGCAGAGCGCCGCATTGGCATGGTCATGGACGTCGCTCGTACGTCTATGATGCATGCGGCTGCCCCCCATTTTCTGTGGCCGTTTGCGGTCAGGTACGCGGCGCATCAGATCAACCTCCACCCCAGGGTCTCCAGGCCGGAGACCTCCCCAGCCCTGCTGTGGACGGGGAAGGTTGGCGATGCGTCGGCGTTCCGGGTCTGGGGATCTCGGGCGTTTGTCCGCGACTTGTCTGCGGACAAGCTGTCCCCTCGCGCTGCTCCCTGCGTCTTCCTGGGGTTCCCCCCCGACGCCCCTGGGTGGCAGTTCTACCACCCCACCTCTCGCCGTGTTCTGTCCTCCCAGGACGTCACGTTCGACGAGTCCGTCCCCTTCTACCGCCTCTTCCCCTACCGCACTCCTTCCCTCCCGCCGCCACCGCACTTCCTTGTGCCAGGTCCCCCCCCAGTAGACCCCCTTCCCCCTCAGGGTCCTGCCCCTTCAGGTGTGTCCCAGGTAGATGCAGTCGAGCCGGTCGAGGTTGCTGGTGACTCAGGTACTGCTGGGGGTGCTGAGCCTGGGGGTGCTGAGCCTGGGGGTGCTGACTCTAGGAGTGCTGAGTCTGGGGGTGCTGAGCCTGGGGGTGCTGAGCCTGGGGGTGCTGCCTCTGGGGGTGCTGAGCTTGGGGGTGCTGACTCTGAGGGTGCTGCACGCGTGGGTGCTGAGCCTGGGGGTGCTGAGCCTGGGGGTGCTGCGTCTGGAGCTGCTGAGCCTAGAGGTGTGGAGCTTGCGGCCACTGGACCTCCCCTTGTGGCGTCTGGCGGTACTGGGCATGGAGGTTCTCCGGGTGTTTCGTCTCGGCGGGAGCCACTCTCTCCACATGAGCTGCGTGAGTGGTTTGCTCGCCGCTGGAGGCGTACTGCTGGAGCTGGCGCTTCTTCGGCCACTGAGGGTGCTGGTGCCGCCGGTCCCGGAGCTGCTGGGCCTGCGGGTCCGCCTGGAGCTGGAGCTGCTGAGGGTGTTGGTTCTGAGACTACTATTGTCTGTCCTGGTGGTGGTCGTGCTGCAGGTGCTGCTGGCGCTGCTGGAGGTCCTGCCGCTGGAGGTGCTGTTGGCGCTGGTGCTGCCGGAGGTGCTGAGGGTGCTGGTGCTGTCCCTGCTGTGTCTGGTGCCGCCGCGCGGCCTCGGCCGTACTTCGTTCTGCTCCTTCAGCAGGTTCTTGGTCTTCCTCCTCTCTTAGAGGGTCCACCGCCTGTCCAGTCGCAGTCACAGCTACCGCCGGCCTCCCCATTGCCTTCTCCCTCTCCCTACACTAGTCCTACTGGAGGTCTTGCTGAGCGTCGTGAGCCTGCGTCTCGTCCTGCGTCGCCTGTTCGTTATGCTCGCACTAGTGGTCGTAGTTCGCGTCAGCGTCCTCCTCCTGTCCCTGGCACGCACCGGATGTCTCTGCGTCCGTCCACTGCTCCACTGCGTGCCCCTTTGCCCTCTCCTCCTGAGTCCTCTCTTCCTGCGCTTGCCGACCCTGAGTCGGACTCTCTTCGTGCTGCCAGTCCTACTGTCACGCGTCTCCTTGCTACTGTCGTCACTGACCCCTCCTTTGAGTCCACTGCTGCGTCTGCTCTTGTTACTGAGCTCGTCGACTTTGCTGCTCGCTGTCGTCTAGACTACGCTGCTAGTCTTGTTGTTGAGTCTGCGTCTGTCTGTCCTCCGTCCGTCGGGGGTGAGTGTGCTCTTGGCACGGACGTCCTTGAGGACAGGCAGGAGGAGTTTCAGTGTCTGGCTGCTGCTTCACCTCATCTCGCGTCTGTACTGCTTGCCCCTGAGGGAGACCCGGATGCACTAGACATCCCGACTCCGCGCTCTTACGCGGAGGCGATAGAGGGTCCCTACTCCTCTCAGTGGCAGGCAGCTATGGATGCAGAGATGGCTTCCTGGAAGTCCACAGGCACCTACGTTGACGCGGTTCCCCCACCTGGGGCGAACATCGTCAGTGGGATGTGGATCTTCAGGGTGAAGCGGCCGCCGGGCTCTCCACCTGTCTTCAAGGCGCGGTACGTGGCTCGTGGCTTCAGTCAGCGGCAGGGAGTTGACTACTTTCAGACCTTCTCTCCCACCCCGAAGATGACCACTCTTCGGGTGCTGCTGCACATAGCCGCTCAGCGCGACTACGAGCTCCACTCTCTTGACTTCAGCACTGCTTTCTTGCAGGGTAGCCTGCACGAGGAGATCTGGCTGCGCCGTCCACCTGGCTTCACTGGGACTTTCCCTCCTGGCACCCAGTGGGAGCCTCCGACGGCCAGTCTACGGTCTCCGCCAGGCACCGCGTGAGTGGCACGACACACTGAGGACTACGCTTGCGGCTCTTGGGTTTGCTCCTTCTACTGCTGACCCGTCGCTGTTTCTTCGCACCGACACTTCTCTGCCGCCGTTCTACATCCTCGTGTACGTCGACGACTTGGTCTTTGCCACAGCGGACACTGCTGGACTCGCCTACGTGAAGTCCGAGCTGCAGAAGAGACACACGTGCACTGACCTGGGTGAACTGCGCAGCTACCTTGGCTTGCAGATCACTCGGGACAGAGCACGCCGCACCATTACCTTGACTCAGTCACACATGGTGCAGCAGGTCCTTCAGCGCTTCGGCTTCACGTACTCCTCGCCTCAGGCCACTCCTCTGTCTACTCGCCACTCGCTCTCAGCTCTGCCTTCGGATGAGTCCGTAGAGTCGAGTGGCCCGTACCCAGAGCTTGTTGGCTGCCTCATGTACCTGATGACCTGCACACGACTTGACCTTGCATACCCTCTTAGCATCTTGGCACGCTATGTTGCTCCTTGGAGACACCGACTAGAGCACATGGCTGCAGCGAAGAGGGTGTTGCGCTACTTGTGCAGTACGTCGGGCATGGGGCTAGTGCTTGGAGGGCGGAGTCCAGTGGTCCTCACTGGGCACGCGGACGCTTCTTGGGCTGACGACCAGGCTACGCAGCGGTCGTCGCAGGGTTACACCTTCAGTCTAGGTTCCGGCTCTGTTTCGTGGCGGGCTACTCGCTCGTCTTCTGTTCTCGGCTCCAGTTGTGAGGCTGAGATCTACGCCGGGGCCATGGCTGCTCAGGAGCTTCGCTGGCTCACCTACCTGCTGACTGACCTTGGAGAGCCGCCTCGTTCTCCTCCAGTGCTGTACGTAGACAACAAGGCCATGCTGGCCTTGTGTCGAGAGCAGCGCCTGGAGCTCAGAACGAAGCACATTGCTCTCCGCTACTTTCTTGCCCGTGAGCTGCAGCAGCGTGGTCAGTTGCGACTTGCGTACGTGGCATCTGAGGCCAACAATGCTGATGTTTTCACCAAGGCACTTCCGCCTTGTGATCATCAGCGTTTCTGTACTCAGCTGGGACTTGTCCCAATCTTGCCTCACTTGCTCACCTCTTGACCTTACTTGTACTCTTGCATATATATATACCTGCTCTTGCTTGTTTAGACCTATATATATATGTCTCCTCCTGCATGTGAACTGGCCTTGTGGCCTTGAACTTGTGCTCAGACTGTGTGGTGACGTTGTGATCCACCCTGAGCTTGCTTTGCTTTGCTTTGCTTGACTGGTCTTGTGACCCCTTGTTCTCCCCCACTTTGCCTATGGGGGTGTGTCAGAACATTATAGCTTATGCTTTTGTGTAGGCTATAGTGGGGTATCCCATAGGGGGTATTACCCAATTAGGGTTAGTACTTGTACCCACTTCACTCATAGTTCATTTCATTCTCGTTCTATTCTTCTCAGTCGCACCCCGACCTCACGGCTCGGCTGGTAACCCGCGCTCCGGGCCTCCGCTTCGACATTTTTCCCAAACCTCAGTCGAGGCCCGTCGCGCGACAACCACAGTCTATTACCGTTACCACTGTAGTTTCGCTATATATTCTTTGCTCATTGTACTCTTGCTTCGATAGTGCAATTCTCGCTCGCTCACTCAATTGCACTCGTAACACTATATTGTTGGGAACAATAAGTCTTAAAACGCCTCTGTCGTGTCGAAGCTCAGGACTCAAAGCGAAGCAGTCCAAATCGAAGCATCGCGAGTCAACCCTCGGAGGTTAGGGTAACCGCCTGGAGGTTACGCGAAGGTCAAAGGTCAGCGACCTTTGACTTGACCAATACAGCGCGACAGCAAGGACACACAACTGACTCGACATTGAGCAGTTGCCCGAGTCGCACTGTATCGAATCGCAACAGTAAAACGGTTTAAATCTATCTATTCGTATTCCTTGTACTCTTATATAAACCTTGTATTTGCTTGTTTTAATCAACTTACTTTGCCCTCACATACTAGCGCAAGGTGGTTCAATCACTGTATACTTCAACGCTTCCGCTATTACAATCCTATTCAGTCCTTAAGCTCTACAAAGATCATAGGGCTTCTCAGCCCAACATATATTACGTACAGGCACATACTGTAGCTAATCTTCAATATACGGTACATCTTGTATGTGTCGACACGTCGCGAGAAAAAGGGCATTGAGACACTTGTGTCCACACAGGAGTGTTCCCTAAGTGCCTTACATTACTGATAATTCTTGTTACAGTATGAATTGTTGAAGCAGCTCTGGTATGCAGTCCCCATTGACAACTTAATATATATTTTACATGCTAATCTAACCTTATCCGCAAAGCCCCTTAATATATTTCAAAGAATGGTTGTGGCAAGTGGTGCAAAGCTGGCCCATTGTGCTTTCATCTCGCACCCACTTCCTGCCATCTGCCCTTCAAGCTGCAGTGGAGTGTGGTGTGCAGAAAAGGCGAGGCCTTCATGTGACCCAGCAGCAGGAGATGGAATCATTGGGCATGTCATAGATGGGAGTCATGCCCTTGCCGCGCTTCAGATCCACCTTCCCCAGCAGCGTCACCACCTCCCCCATGTCGGGCCGCTTGCTGGGGTCAGCATCCCAGCAGCGCTGCATGATTCTGCTCAGGTCCCGCGGGCAGATTCCAGGGATGGTGGGGCGCAGACCCTGAAGGAGGCAGGGAGGGAGGGGTGCACGAGAGCAGCCTCCACACAGTGTGTTGCCAGGTAGGTGGAAAGAGAGGAGCAGCAGCTATTACATACTGCCAGCTGCACACACATATCTGGGTGTGTGGCAACTGTGCGTGTGCACATGGGCGTGTGCTAGTGCCATACTGCATATACGTGCATCAAAGCGAATAAGAAAGGGGCAGATGTGCGTGCGTAAATAAGGCACCTTATTGACTACCGCGGCCATTTCCTTGAAGTCGAGGTCGGGGAAGGGCATGTCACAGCAGTAGATCTCCCACAGGCAGATGCCAAAGCTGTACACATCAGCACGGTGGTTGTACGGCCTGCAGTCCAGCACCTGCACAGGGACACCGCTTAATCAGTTCCTTCGCCTTGGGGAACAGAGCAGGCACTGAAGCAAATGAGCGAGAGCAAGAGCTGGCGGCGCCACACACAGCAGCCCCGTGGTTGGTTCACCTCGGGGGCCATGTAGCCAAGAGTGCCGGTGGCGCCCGTCATGTCCTTGGGGTTCTCCGCCTCTATGCGCGCCACCCCAAAGTCCGCCACCTTGACGCGGCGACTGGCTGTGAGCAGCATGTTCTCCGACTTGATGTCCCGGTGCACCACCCCGTGTGCATGCAGGTACTCCAACCTGCCACACACATACCCCAGGGCCACCACACACGACTTGAGGCCCATTTACGCTAGCAAGAAGCACAGGAATTTCAGACACATGCCATGGGGATGGTGGAGGGGCGGAGCAGCAGTTGCACAATGCTTGACGACCTGCACAGGACATGAGCTGCTACCCTCTTCTGACCGAATGACAGGCTCATGAATTATACGGCCCACTTTCTGCCCCGACCTCCACCCTTTGGTCCTTCCCTCAGCCCCACATGCAGACTGCCACAACGCACCACTCTCCATCACCCATGCCATGCCCGCCACCACCCCTGTGCACTCGCCCACCCCCATGCCCGCAACCATCCCTATGTGCCTGCGCGCTGCACGCCCCTCCCCCCGCCCGCGCACCCCTTGGCCATGTCGGAGGCGAGCTGCACGACGGTGCGCAGAGGCAGCTTGCGGCGGCGGTTGGCGATGAGGTAGTCCTTGAGCGTGCCGCCCGCCACGTACTCCACCACCAGGCAGCACAGGCTGCCCTCCACGCGGATGTCGCCCTTGTGCCCTCCGCGCGACCGGTCGAACGACGGGATCATGAACCCGCCCTGGTCCGCCACGGACGCGCCCACGAACTGCACGCACCACGCAGCGCGCGCACGCACGGTCAGCTCACGGCGCAGCGGGCAAGAGCAGCGGGCGGCATGAGCGGCGGCGGCGAGGAGCAGCAGCAGCGGCAGCAGCAGCAACAGCAGCGACAGCTGACCTGCGCGACGTTGGGGTGCGAGAGGTCGCTCCACACCGTGACCTCCTGCTTGAACGCGCGCCTTAGCTTGTCGAGCTGCATGCGCGACATGGTGTCCTCCTCTCCCCAGTCCAGCACCTTCACTGCTCGCGCGCACGCACCACCGCACACCGCAACCAGCACAGATCAGATCGACATGACATGACATCGCACGGCATGGCACGGCATGGCACATATTAGCGTGAGAGCATGGGCGCATTCGCGACACCAAGATCGGCAAAATGTTGCGCTGCAGCCAGCCTTGCAGCTCCAGCTGCGCTGATCGGACCCTCACGACACCTCTCGAACCGCCACGCACGACGTTGCTTCGCGAGCAACGGCGCGAGAAGCGGGTCGCGGCAAGGGCGGGAAGGAGCACGGGGGGAAAGGGGCAAGTGAGGAAAAGGGGGCGCACCTGCAACGTCCTTTCCTTGGTAAGTGCCTCGATACACGGTGCCGAACGTGCCGTTAGCGATTAGTTTTCTCAGCACTACTTTCTTCACGTCGATCTCCCACTTGGGTCGTTCCGATCCCTCGGCTTGCGGTCCGTGCCCCAGCTTATCCGCGTCGCTGCCGCCACCCTTCCCCGCCGCGCCTGCGGCTTGAACGGCAGCGGCGGGCTTTTCTCGGCGGGACAGCGCGCGATCGAGCGCGCGGTCGAGATCCGCGAGGTCGACGAGGTCCGCGCGCGCCATATGCACCACCTTGCCGCTCGGCCGCGCGCGCGTCTTCACGCTCTCTGCCTCCACTGCCTCGCGCACGCCATCCGTATCCCTATCTTTCGCGCTCGCCCCATCGCCATCGTGCCCTTTGTTCTCCGACTGCCGCGTGCCCTCACCGATCACCACGCCGTTGCACGAAGCTCCCTCCACGGGCTTTGCACCGCCCGTCTGTGCGCCGAGCGCCTTCAGCGGCGGTCGGGACGGACTATCGCGATCCGAATGGGGCGGCTGCGACGCGCTCTGACCATCTGCCATAAGCGCAGCCGCACAAGCCGCAGAATGCACGCGGCCGCGGAAGGCCTTTGCCCACTAACAAAAAGGCCGAAGCCTAGCGACGGATGCGGTGACCTTCGGAAGACGATCAGCAAATACGCGTTGAGGACAGTGCGGGTAACGAAGTAACGCGGAATATACGATAGGGCATCTTGCACGTTAGTCTATCCATGGTGAAAGCTTGAAGGGGTGCTTGCTGTGTGGGGAGGGAAATGTAGCTGCTCTAAAAGTGTAACGCAGGATGAAAAATGAGAGGTGAGAAAGTGAGGGAATGAGGAGGAGGTGGCAGGCGAGGCGGAAAAGGGTGAAGGGAGGGGTGCGGACGGAGGTGGGGTGATGCGGCGCACCTCCCTCGCTTGCAGCGCTGCCACGCTCTCCGTAGATGCTGGAAAAAGGGCGGACGAGCCCAACGTTCCCTGCTGCAACGTCAGACTGATTGTGAGGAATTTTGCTAATTCCTTACTGAGGCCGCTCTTACGCGTATAATTCCAACTTTCGGAATTCAGGCTCGGTCCGTCGACCTCGCCTTCCGAACGTCAGCCGCGTCGCCTTCGGGTTTCCCAAACCCAAACCTACACCCAACCTTCGAGCGACTCCGCGACCTCGGCCTAGCTAGCTGTGCTATATTATGCCTAGGCCTCATTGTTTGCTCAGTAGTTGTAATCACTTCCGCGATATTGCATTCTGCGCACACTTCATTCTTACAACTCATAACACTTGGTATCAGAGCTACTTTCCTAGGATACCCTCCACTTTCCGGGGTAGTTTTAGTGCAGGGGTGCGATAGGTTTGGTGGGCTGCAAAGCGGTCGGCTGAGAGATAGATACGATTATCTCGCTCCGACTAATAGTGTTTGCGCCTTCATCAAAACCACAAAAATCGTTGTTAACCCGCTGCCCGCTAGGATGAGTCTCCGAAATATGACGCAAGCAGAGTTTGATGTGTGAAGAAATGAGGAATGAAGAAGAGAGGGGAGGGGGTTTACTAGCAAACATTGGGATACATATAGCAAACCCTAAAAGGGTTGTACTCACTATAGAGTACCCCACTGCAGACTAGAGAAACATAATATTCTGACACACCCCCATAGTCAAAGTGGGGTGTAATCAGCACAACAAGCAAAGCAGAACAAGCTCAGGGTGGATCACAATGTCACCACACATTCTGAGCACAAGTACAAGAAGCAACAGTTTAAAGTTCACAAATGTAAGCAAAGCTAGAGGCTATCGCAGAGGGCAAGTGTGGAGGAGGAGGGACTATGAGAGGAGAGGAGGTAGTGGGCGGCAGCTGAAGCTGCTGGCACACGGCGCAACTTGAGCAACTGGCACACGGGCTACTGGAGCAACTGGCACACTAGCAACTGGAGCAACTGGCACACGGGATACTGGAGTAACTGGCTCCGCGGCTAACTCTGAGCGGCAGGAGCAACGGACTCACGGGCGACTGGAGCAACGGGCTCACGGGCGACTGGCGCAACGGGCTCACGTGCGACTGGCGCAACGGTCTCACGGGCGACTGGAGCTGCGGGCTTCACGGCGGCCACCCCCTTCAACCTCCCCAAACTATCCCACCCCCATTTCACACACCCCTTACTGCACCCCTAGGTTCACTCACACCCCACCCCCTAGCACCACTCCATCGTCTCCCACACACCCACCCCCCTCAGCGGCAACTGTAGCAGTGGGAGACAGAGGAGGAGGAGGAGCAGGGGAGACCACACACCCGCCACCCCCTACTCGCCACCCCCAAACCCTAAAACAGGGCAGGGCGGGATGGCGGGTAGGGAGGTTACGGGGGGGGGGAAGGGGGGGGGCCGACGCGCGGCCTCCCAGGGCGCCAAAGCAGGCGGCAGAAGGGGCGACGCTCGCCCCCCTCCCCCAGGTCGCGGCCTCCTCAGGTCGCCTCGACAGGCGACGGGAAAAGGGGGGGGGGGGGGGGGGGGCGGTGCACGTGCCCCCAGTGCGCCGCGACTGGCGACGAAGCATGGTCGGGGCGGGGCCGGGGCACGGTCGAGGAAGGGCCGAAAGGGGCGGCTACGGGGCCGCAAGTGGCGGCGACGGGGCCGCTGGAGGCGGCGACGGGACCGTTAGGGGCGGCGACGGGGCCGCTAGGGCCGGCGACGGGGCCGCTGGCGGCGACGGGGCCGCTAGGGTCGGCGACGGGGCCGCTGGCGGCGGCGACGGGGCCGATAGGGGCGACGACGGGGCCGTTAGGGGCGGCGAAGGGGCCGCTGGCGGCGGCGACGGGGCCGATAGGGGCGGCGACGGGGCCGCGAAGGGGCCGCGAGGGGCCTGGAAGGGCGGCGACGGGCCGCGAAGGGGCCGCGAGGGGCCTGAAAGGGGCGGCAACGGGGCCGCGAAGGGGCCGCGAGGGGCCGAGAAGGGCGGCGACGGGGCCGCGAGGGGTGGCGACGGGGCCACTAAGGGTCGCGCGAGGGGCACGCCACGGGGCGTGTGGTTCACAGAATAGCAGCGGAAGCAGTTAGGTGGGCCCACAGGCCAGGAGCGTAGATGCTCTGATAGCATGTGAAGAAATGAGGAATGAAGAAGAGAGGGGAGGGGGTTCACTAGCAAACATTGGGATACATATAGCAAACCCTAAAAGGGTTGTACTCACTATAGAGTACCCCACTTCAGACTAGAGAAACATAATATTCTGACATGATGCGTTTCTGCAGGACTTTCGGGCGATGCAATCCAACATGCAGACTATGTCTGGCGAGTTGGATCGCCTGAGGGTGGAAAACGCCGAGCTACGCCAGACGCGAGGTGAAGCGCGTCAGGAGTCGCCCGCCGTGGATGAAGCAAGTAGCAGCTTCGCGCCTAATAACGAGGTCCTTAGCGAGCTACAGAACTCGCTGGACGCTGAAGATGAGTGGACGGCACGGATGCAACAGGCACAAGGGACGCAGGAGCAACAGTCGCAGCCGCAGCAACAGACACGAGCGTCGCCGAGGCAACAGTCGCAGTCTACGCCACGTCAGGCAACAGCGACAACCCCGGTGATGGCTTCAGTCGCGCCCCCGATGCATGCAGCAGCAACAGTCTCAACAACCGTTAAAATAAAACCGACAAACCCGCCCCCGTTCAACCCCAGCGACAAAACCTTCACTGTGTCGGCATGGTTGTTCGGTGTGGAGGTGTTTTTCAATGCTGCGCAAATTGCTGACGATGCTACCCGCATTAATTTTGCAGTGTCACTGTTACGAGGGCCGGCGTTGGAATGGTGGAGGCGGACTCTTCAGACAGCGGGGACTCCGGCAGGGCTGTCACGTGCGAACGACGGGACCTGGACAACTGTCACGCAAGGAGCAACTTCAATCTTCGGAGTGGCCACGATACGCACATGGACGGAGTGGGGCGCCGTGCTGCGAAACAGATTCGAGCATGTATCCGCCTCGGATTCTGCTCGCATGAAGCTGCGCACCTGGAAGCAGGTGGCGTCGGTCCAAGATTACACGGCAACATTCCGCAATTTGGCTGACCAAGTGGACGATATGAGCGATGCGGAGCGAGTCGACCGCTACGTCGCAGGCCTCAAGTACGAAGTACAGTACGAGGTGCGACAGGCGAGGCCACGCGACTTTCTCGATGCCGTCCAGGTGGCTGAATCAACGGATGTGCTGATGCAATGGGCGAGAATGAGTTCCCGGGAGGATACTCAATTTCGTGGACCGCCGCGCCAGCCCACAATCAACGGGGTGGATGCACCGAGACGTGGACCTAACACGTGCTTCAACTGCAACCAACCGGGCCATTGGAGGAAGGACTGCCCGAAGCTGAAACAGGGAAACAGGAGCGACGGAGAGGGGTCGGGAAAAGAGACGAGTCAGTAGCAGTCGGGCCACCTACTGACGAGACCCCGTCACCCGGCAATCAACATCCACACCGAGTAGTGGTACCGATACGGGCTATCGACCGCAACCGGACGAATAAGGTGGATGAACACGTGGATCACCCTGTGCTGGTCGTGGGGAGGGTTAACGGACAAAACATAAAACTTTTCGCTGACGGTGGGGCGAGCCACAGTCTCGTCAATCTGGCAACGGCCAAAAAAATCGGAGTCAAGCTGGACAGGTGTCTGCCCGAAATTGACGCGCGACTGGTGGACGGGACACCGCTGGCGATAAAGGACGAGGTCCGACAAATTCGGATGAAGTGTGGCGACGATTTCCGGTTTTCTATGCGAATGCTGGAGACAACACTGGACGGTTGCGATGTGCTGCTGGGACGAGATTGGCTACAACGATTCAATCCGACGATCGACTGAACGACGGGGGCGATCACGGTGCTGTGCAACAAGGGGCGCGTGACACTTCCGAAATGGACGGAGCCGGACCCGATGACAACACGTGTCAACGCAATCACTGTGAAATAAATGACCAGGAATGAAATGACTAAGTCAGAGTTGGGTACAAATACAACCCTAGAAAGCTGTACCCCATATGTGCTACCCCACTATAGCCTACAAACATGCATCAGCTATAATAATCTGACACACCCCCATAGGCAAAGTGGGGGAGAACAAGGGGTCACAAGACCAGTCAAGCAAAGCAAAGCAAAGCAAGCTCAGGGTGGATCACAAAGTCACCACACAGTCCGAGCACAAGAGCAGGGCCAGAGGCCAGTTCACATGCAGGAGTACAGACATATATATAAAACTAGACAAGCAGGAGCAGGTATATATATGTCACAGAACAAGTAAAGTCAAGAAGAGAGCAAGTGAGGCAAGACAGGCACAAGACCCAGCTGGGTGCAGAAGCGCTGATGGTCACAAGGCGCGAGTGCCTTGGTGAACACATCAGCAGTGTTGGCCTCAGAGGCCACGTACGCAAGTCGCAACTGACCACGCTGCTGCAGCTCACGAGCAAGGAAGTAGCGGAGAGCAATGTGCTTCGTTCTGTGCTCCAAGCGCTGCTCTCGACACAAGGCTAGCATGGCCTTGTTGTCTACGTACAGCACTGGAGGAGAACGAGGCGGCTC